GGGGAGGGGGAGCAAGGGTGGGGGGGCAGGGGCGCGGGAGGGGCGCCCCTGTGTCTGAGGGGCGGAGGGGCCGTGCGGAGCCGGGGTCGGGGGTCGGGCCACAGCTTCGGGGCGGGAGCCGGGCGGCCATGGCAGCCCCGGGCGGGAACGGAAAAGAAAAGGAACATTCTATAAACATTTACTTTCCTTTTTCTTAATTTTTTCATCCTCAGATACCTTTTTCCTGTTTCTTTGCCTTTAAGAAATACTTTTTTCTTCAAAGACAACCTGAAACACCCAGTCACGGAAAACCTCCCCGCCGCCGAGAGGGGGCATCCGGGGGCGCGCGCCCGTCCCTGGCGGTGGTCCCGCCCTGCGCCTCCCGGCGGCCCCCGCACCGCCTCCCGGAGCGTCTGGGGCCGCGAGGCCGCAGGACGACGGCAGCGCCGCAGAGTGAGGAAGGGCCGCTGGCGCGGCGCCGGCCCTCCCTGCCACGAGGGGCCGGCGGAGGGGGCCTCGCGCTCCTCTCGGGGTCCGAGGGGCTGGCCCCGGCCCGAATCCCGCCCCCGGGCCCCCTCCCCGAACACCCCCTGCTGCTCGGCAGGCTCTGTGGGGGCCGAACTGGTCCCGGTGACCTGCAGCCGCGGGGCGTGCCCTGCCCCGGCTCCTGTCCCCGCGGGGGGCCCCCCCCCCCGCCTCTGCCGGACTCTTCAGCCGCAGACGCCGCGTGCACGTCCGGGCCGAGCCTGGGAAACGGGGCCGGGACGCAGCGCACGCAGGTTCCGTCGACGGGAAACAGCGTTCGTTAGGAACGCCTTTGTGCACATGTACTCATTTTGGGAAAAAGTCCTTAAAGTTTCTACACTGACATGCAAACTGTATTTGCTGTGAGAATGTGACAACTTGTCATAATTTTCACTTAATGTATTTGATACCTTGTTTGTCACAGGGTAGATATTTTACGTGTAAACTGACTCACTTACATACATTCAAGTGTTTTGTCAAAGCTCTTCCGTCGACCCCACCCTCCCGAGGCCACGGCGCCGCGGCCCGGACTCCGGGTCCCGGCTCGCTGGCTCTCAGCGCCGACCTGGGAAGGGTAAATGAACAGCGTCCAGTGAAATGACCTGCACTGAACACAAAGGCAGGCAGCACCCCAGAGCCGCCGCCTTCGCTCTCCCTGCGCCTCATCGCTGCCTGCGTCCCGCGGGGTCTCCCAGGCCGGCCGGCCTGGGACGGCGACGCTGCCCTGGAGGGCGCCCTGGACGGCGCCCGGACCCCGCCGGCCGCGGGGACCCAGCCCACAGGGACCGGCAAACCTGTAACCCGGGGCCCGACGGATAGGTTAACTGTCCCTGCTTCATCAAGTCTTGGGAAAAAATCCTAATCCGTTGTCAGACCTAACATGAGTCACGTCTTGAACCTCTGCGGTAACATATTCTGAACATGTGACGGAACATCCTTCCGGGTTTAGAAATCTGCAGCCCCATCCCCTGAGACCAGCGAGCGGAGCGGCCGGTGCACCTGGTGGCAAAGCCGGCGGCTCCGGGGGAATGAGTGTGGCTCGTGTGAGGCTGGGCAGTGGCTGCCAGTAGCTCACGGTCAAAGTTAAACATAAGTCATTGGGAAAGGAGTGCGGGATTGTGGGTGCAGCTCCGTTGTCAAATTTAAACCACAGTCAGGCCGAGAAGGAGGGTTCAGCAAAAATCAACCAACGCTTTCCATGGGAATCGACTAGCTGTTGGCGTCTCCAGCAACATTTACCAATTATTGCTTGTGAACTGTGTACTCACATACTATGTGTTACACACACACACACACACACACGCATGTACGCACGCACGAGGGGTCCTCAACAAAACCGCAAACGTGTTTTAAGCCCTCGGCCGCAAATGCGAGCGGTGGCAGCGGGGACCCGCAGCCGGAGACCGGGGCCGGCTTGAGTGCGCGCAGAAGCACAGGCTTTCGGGCTGGGAACAGACTAGAGGTTTCTTCTAGTTAAAGCGAAGATTTCTGACATTTCCCGGCAGTTACTGAGCTAATGTTGCAAGGACAGTGCCCAGAAATATAATTAAAAAAGCTCACTCCCCAAATCCCTGAATAGAATCCCTGTTGGTGTTTTCACTTTCTCTCCTTAAAAATAGGCAAAGACATTTAAAACTTTTGATCACACTTGTCTTCTTCGCTCCCTGCCCAGCGGTGCTCCGAGCACCCTGAGTAGGGCTCGTTAACTCGTGTTTTAGGATCCAACGTGCCTGTTTCAACCAACACCAATCCTTCTCCAAGTTATAAGAAAGGGATCCATCGCGTCCCTTGCAGTCGGCTGCTGCGCCTGCGTCGTGGATTCCGGGTCCCTGCGTCCCTGCGTCCCTGCTCCCAGTTTGTGGTTGACTTACTTTTTGTCTGTGACTCAGACTCTGCCTGGGTTTCCGACCCCAAGCGCAGCCCTGCCGGGGCTGGAGGCCCACAGCGGCTGCTCTCGCAGGCTTCCCGGTGCCTCCGCCTGGTGTCCCCAGGAAGAGGGGGTCCCAGCGTCTTCAGGAAGGCTCCGCGGTCCCTGAGCCTCAGTTTCCTCACGTGCTCAGCGTCAGTGCTAAGACCCAGCACCCAGGCTGTTTGCCTTGGTGAGTCTTAGTGAGAACCTTCGCGTTGCTGAGGAGCAGGCGCTCGCCGCCCACCTCGGCGAAGGACGAGCGTGTCTCATTTCCTACCTCCCTGCGACTCTCTCGGGGGTCAGCTCCGCAGGAGGCCACGTCCACCCTCTGCTCATCTCGAGCCGGCCCAGCCCTGGGCTGGGGTCCGACACGCGCCCTGGCGCCTGGGGTCTCTCCGTGCCAGGCCTCACGCGTGAGCCCACCGTCCCGCCCAGTGCGCGGCCGCGCGCTTTCTCCTCGTCCACACACACCGTCCGCAGGGGCCCATGGGGCCCGGCTCAGTGTGGACGACGATGTCCGCCCTCTGGGAAACGGCCGGGGGCCCAGGCTTCCGAGAGCCCGCGTCACGGCTGTGGTGGCTTCACTTCTGAACCTCTGGCTGCCCAACACGCAAAAAATTGCATTGCCTGCTCACAAATTAATTTATAACTTATATCCAAAACAGTTCCCTGCAGTGGAAATGAACGAGAAGCTTCCGGAGCTGAGACTCCAGCAGGGAATTGCGAGCCGGGGAACAGGGGGCTGTTTTTGAAAACAGTGCTCACACCCTCGCTGGGTCGGGGGTTTCGGAGAAGCGGAGCTCGGGCGCCGCGGACCGCGCTCGCTGGCGCGGCATGTCGCTCCCCCGGCTCAGTCAGCGCCGCCATGTCGCCGCCACCCGGAGGCCACGGCGGGCGCCACGGCTCGCTCTTGGGTTTGGACACGTGTTCACCGTCTTCCTGTCCTGTGGGTACGGCCCCACGGCCCTAACACCCTCCGGGCACTGCCGGTCGTCCGTCCCCGCCTCCGCGCCTGGCAGCCGCGGTCTTCAGTGCCACCCCACCGTGACGGCGAGACGGCGGGACGGCGGGACCGGACGGCACGCGGCCCCTTCAGACCGGCTTCGCTCACTGAGCCACGTGGACCCAGGGCTCCTCCACGTCTTTCCCTGGGGAGAGAGCTCGTGTTTTCAGCGCTGAACAATATTCTATTGTCTGGATGGACCCCAGTCTTTTTGTCCATCACCTAATAAAGGGCATTTCAGTGGCTTTAAAATGAAAACTGTTTTTTTAAAAACTGCTATTAAAACGTGTGCGGGGTTTCGGCAGACAGAAGCTTTCACCTTCTTCGAATGAATAGGAAGCGGCGCAGTGGCTGGATCACGTGACAGGGGTCAGGGTTGGCTTTGTAAGAAACCGCCAGCCGCCTCCCACAGCGGCCGCCTGGGGGGCGTCCCCGCCAGCCCCGAGGGCGGGCCTGCCGCTCCGCGTCCCCCCAGCGCTTGGTGGCGTCCGCCTTCCGGGCTCTGGCCGTTCTGCTAGGTGTGCAGTGGGTTCTCACTCTGATTTCAATTTTATTTCCCAGATGACCTATGATGTGAAGCCTCTTTCATGGGTTTATTTGCCACTTGTATGTCTTCCTGGGAGAACTGTCTATAAAAGGTTTTGGCTCATTTGTTAGCGGGGCCGTTTGGTACCTTATTATTGATTTTTAAGTGCTTTTTTTTATGTCTTTAATAACAACAGCCCTTGGTCAGATGTGCCTTCTGCACATCTCTCTCCCAGTCTGGGGTTTGTCTCTTCTTTGTCTTAACGGTGTTTTCCACAGACCAGAAATTCTTAAACCTCAGGAAGGCCAACGCATTGCCTTTTCTTCCATGAGTCGCCCTCTTGATGTTGCCTCTAAAAAGACGTCCCAGCGCCCAAGGCCACCTAGGTTCTTTGGGGGCAGGAGCCGCTTCCACCGGGGCAGGCGGGCGGTGGCTGCGGGGCCGGCAGGGCGGGGGGGCGTGAGTGCCGCCGCAGGGCCGCCGCCGCGGTGTCCAGGAGAGCGGACGAGGCCGCGTGTGGCCTTCGCGCCTGCAGGGCTCCCGTGAGCCGACCGTTACTCCGCCGGCCTGTGTCAAACACAGGTGTTACTCAGTCTTACGGTCAAGGTGGAGCCCTTTACGACGACCCATCAGTGTCGTTCGCTGCACGCCGGCCTCCGTAAAACTTCTAGGCAGAGATAATGCTGAGAAATTCGTCCCACTAGAAAGAAAAAGCCGTTGCTGAAGAGTCCCCGTTACCCTGGGGAAAATGCAGGGTCAGCCAGCCTTGCGCCCATCGGTTCGGTCCCGTTAAGTCCTAGAAAGTAATTTGGAAGTGACCAGGCTGTGCACGGGTGACTCCGTAGTCTCCTAAAAGGCCACGCGTGCCCTTGGACATGCAGCCAGTCTGGCGGGCCTGCGCGACCGGGAGGGCGTGCTCCGAGGGACAACCTGGGAAACGAGACAGAACGCGAGCGCGAGGTTTCCCGCGGCGCCGGCAGCCGTCTCAGGCGACCGCGGCGCCCACTCGGGCCGCGTCCTGGGGTTGGGCCTCGGGGCGCCCTTCCCCCTCGGCTCACCTCGCCTCGCTCCACGCCTGCGCCACACCCCGCTCGGTCCCGTCTGCGTCTCCGGCCGCCACGCAGAAACGCCCGTTCCCCTGGCTTCCCATTCGAGCTTCCCGGCAACGCGTCCCGCGGTCTTCCCCTCCTCCCCCGACCCGCACTGAGCTTCCCCCGCGGGAAGCTGTCCCCTCGAAGGTCAGCGTCACGGGCCCGTCAGGGGGCGGTCGCATCCCGTCTCCATCCAGGAGGCACGGCCCTCCCGTCCGCCTCTCTGTTCCTCCTCACGCAGCGTCTGGGCCCCCCACTCCAGTGACCTGTCCGCCTCCCGGCCCCCGGCCCAGCGAGCCCTGCGCTGCCTGCCCGTCCTCCGAGCGGCAGGGCTGGGCGGAAGTCTTGGCCCCCGAGGGACACGCGTCCCTGTTCGGGGTCCTGGGGGCGGGGCCGGACGGAAGCCCATGGGCACCGCCGGGGTCCCTCGGCCCCCCCGGACCGGCCGCCCCCAGGCGGGCCCCGCGTGCAGGGGAGCTGCAGGGCCGTCCCCCGTGACTGGGCAGGACACCGGGCTCGGCCGGCCCCCCGGCGGGACGGGCATCGGGCGGCGTTCTCCGGACTCCGGGCGCTGCCTGCTCCCTGTGTTCTGCCCGCTTGTTTGTGATGGGGCTTGGACGCCGCGTGGGGGACACTGCGGGGGGCGCTCAGGGGCCCGACGGGGGGCAGCCCCGTGGGGCAGGTGACGGTGAGAGGTGACGGGCAGGTTCCCAGGAGGGCACGCGAGGCGCACGGGCACAGCCCACGCCCAGCGCCGCCGACCCCGTCCCCGAGGGGCTTGCGGGGCAAGGCGGGCTCCCACGTGTCCCAGCGCCGGCCACACGGCGGGAGGCAGGGGCTGTGCGCGTGCGCATGTGGCTCCAGGAGACAGAACTGGTGCTGCGGGGCACGCCCATCCCCACACACGTGTGCACGCACATCCCCACACACGTGTGCATGCACATCCACACCCCAACACACCCCACACACGCGCACAGCCACACATGCACACCCCACACACATGCGCATGCACATCTGCACGCAGGCGCATGCACAGCACATGCATGTCCACACGCGTGCACCCCCCCTCCGGGCACACACACACACAGAAGGACCAAAGCCCCGGCTGCGCTGTACCTGGGCAGGGCCCTGAAGCGACCGGGGCTCTACGTCTCCTCCAGGATTTCAGCACCGGTTCTAATAAAACAACACGCCTAACTTCTGATCAGAAAAGCACCTTCAAGAACAGACGTGACTGTACACGTGTCCCAACGGGCAGCTCTGTGCTGAGGGCTGACGGGTCCTGCTCAGGCTGCCCGGCTCCTGGGCGCCTGCTTCTCGCTGCTTCTCCTCCTTGCGGTTCCTCGGCGCCGGCGCCTCCCGCTGAAGCGGCGCACGTCCGGGTCCGCGTCCGGGCGCAGGGCGCTTGTCGCGCGGGAACAGCGCCCACCGCTGGCCACCCTGGCCCAAGCCCTGTCCAACTCACGGGGCGCTGCTGGGTGTCTTTTCTGCCGCTCGCTGTTTGTCCGTTTCCGATGCGGTTTGCGTGCACGGTGGCGGCGTCTGACCCCGAGAACAGAGGGTCTGACAGCCGGCGGCATTAGCACTCCCGGCAGCCTGGTTGCCTGGTTACAAATGGATCGCATTCCTGTGTTCCCTCTGATTTCCACCTGCTGTGACGGTATTTTGCCTAAACTGGAGCTGGTCCCGGGTGAATAAATAAACCGTGTGTGTGATTAAGCTGCATCCCTGTCGGCTGGGTTTCCCTTCTGCCCCTCATCCGTTTCCTCTGCCCTTGTCACCGGCCGGGTCACCGCAGGTCCAGCTAAGCCCCCGGAGGCGGGCACGGTTCCCAGGGAGCGGCTAGACACGGCCCGTTTATAAACCAACGTCACCTCAGCGAATTCAACAATAAAAACAAAAGAGACAGGCCGTGTCCCGCACCAGACGCACCGTGGAGCCGGCCGCCACGGCACACGCGTTCAACTCTTGGAGCGTCACAGTCCCCGAACTAAAGGTTCGGTTGGACTGTGATTTTACGTGACAGATGGAGGGAAGTAGGCACCTGTGCGTCTCCAGCAGATGCGGTCGACGCCACCGGCGGGACAGCCGCTCTCCGCAGTGAAAACAGAGGACCTGGGAAGCGCCTCACTGGCCACCCACGCCTTGCAGCGGGGTGCTCTCCAAGGGCCATGCGGTCGGCGGCGGCAGGGTGCTTGGCCTCCTTTGGTGAGCGGCTTTCCCGGGTGCTTGGGCAAGCGACAGGTCCGCACTGTCGAAAACAAAGTTACGAAAATGGTCTCCGCTTCTGAGACAGCCTAAACTGAAGCCGGCTTTGAGCCCCTTGAAACAGTTTTTTAAAATTCTTTGATGAGAAAGCCCTAATTATTATTTAAAATAAAACAGTATTTGACATTCTCCTCTCAGCTGCATGGCAGCTGTTTAAAAGGCGACATTAACGAAGTTGAAGGCGTCTGGCTCCTCGGTTCCGAAATGCTGATGCCAAAGCTGTTTGAAAAAATTCAAAAGGATGTGCCTCGCGCAGCACCCCGGGGGCGCGGCCCCGGGCCCCCCCTGCTGGCGGCTCGCTGAACTGCACGCCTTTTCCTGCCCTGGGCCCGCAGAGCCCGGGGGGGGGCGGGGGCAGCGACGCTGCTGCGGGTGGGGCTGTGAGGGCGACACTTGTCGTTGCACACGTGTCCCAACCCGCGGGACGGACAGCGCCCCCAGCTGGGAGCACGCTCGTCGGCGGTGGACGTCGGCGACGACGCAGTGCCAGCGGGCCGCCTGCGGGGACCGTGCCCCACGCTGTGCTTGGCGGGCAGCGGGGGAGGCCGTGCGCGCGTCGAGTCAGGGCCACGTGAGAAACCGCGGCACAGCCCCTGTATTTGGCTGGGAACCTTCTCTGAGAAGTGAAATCTCAATTGAAAGTTCTATGCTGTGCAGACTGCAACCAGCCACCTCTCTGCCTGGGGAGAGAAGGCGCCACAGTGCGCACAGAACACTGGCTCCTGGGCCTGTGTTTAATTAAATACTATGCACGGCGGAGGCAACACCGACGGCACAGCCGCAGCCTCAGGACGCGCCGTTTCCAGCCGGACCGCAGGCCGCGCCGCTGCCGGCCGTGGGCTCGGCCCCTTCCTGCTGCGCAGGCGCCGCTTGCGGCCGAGACAGGCAGGTGGAGGCCGCAGGCGGGGCCCGTCCCGGAGCTCAGGCTGCCGCAGAGGCGCGCGCTGTGGGTCTGTCACTTCCTGTAAACACGCACCTCAAACCCCAGCACCTGCAAGTGTTGATGAAAATCCCACCGCGCAGGGCGCATTCAACGTGTGTTGATAGAGTGTCTAGAACCAGCAAGGGGCCAGTTCAGAAACGCCACTATCTCTGCCAGTGCTCTGACCGTCAGGGACAGACTAGTCTCCTTGTTACATCGCTGGCAGGTGACACAAGACCAGACGTCACCATGGGTAGGACTAGGCAGGGGACACTGCACACGCGGATCCGGCCGGTGGGACTCACCCCCCCGGGGAGCGGCCGCCGGAAGGACTGGACACAGAGCCGAGCCCGCGAAATCCCTCCAAACGCCTCGAAGTTCCTGGCCGGATCTCAGGGCCTCAGGCCTCTCACAGCCAAACTTAATTCACACGTAGCATCTCAGTGGATACATAACTTCTCGTTAAATTTTGTCCTTCTCAGCTTCTTCATGGGAAGCACCGAGGCCTTGCAAGCCAGGTTTGGGGGGGACCCTGACGTTAGCAGGAGGGAGGCATCGGGGGGTTCGCCAGGAAGAGGACTCAGGGCCCAGCAGCGCCCGGGGCGAGTCCCAGGGCTTCGAACTGCCCCGCCGGCTGCTGCCCGGCGTTGCAGCCGGGACAGGCTGCGGCCCAGAACGCACCCGGGGAGGGTTGTATAAGGACATCTGAGGCCGAAGCAAAGCGATCCATCGACCCAGTGGGTTGAATTGACTTAGAATGTAGCGTATTGCAAATTATAAGGAAGATTTCCAGGAAAACAAAAGAAATGAAAAGAAAAGGCCATAAAATGCTTTATGTAAACTAAAGCCTATTACGGAACTTCCTGGGCCCAGCGTGTTTTCCTTGTGACTTTAAATCCGCAGCAACAAAGCTCCTGGAAGGTAGGAGCAGATTCTGGGCTGAAGTAAATACTGTTGAAGGCAGCGGAGGAAGGGAAATGAATACAACACAGTTAGCAACGACGTACTTCAAATGTATTACCTCCCGTTAATTCCACATGCTATCGGAAAAATTTATCATTCCAGGGCAGTCGGAAAAATAAAATATTTAGCAAAGGGTGCATATATGTATGTGTGTTTTTAATTACTAAAGTGCATATATATGCCCTTTAAAATGAAGAGTGTTTCCCTTATTTATTTTGTAAATGAAGGCTAGCATTTTCACAGAGATTTCTTCTGTGTGTTGATTACACATCACAGCATATATTTTTAGATGAATAACTTTAACATCAGCTAATTCATAATTAATATTATCATTAACATATCTCAAATGTACTGGAACACTGGAGACAATTTTTCAGTAAAACTATGGATTTATAGAGTTAAGCTCCCTTTCAAGAATAAAAATCACAACACATCTGTAATTTTAATATTTATAATGTCTAATTTTTCTACTGCGAAAGTAAGATTATTTTCAGCCGCAAACATTCCCAGGCCTGTGCCATGCGCAGCTGGCCTCCCTGGGCATTTCCTGCCTGTCGACTCCTCGCCGGGGGGCAGGAGCCAACGTCCCCCGGTGACGCCGCGCGGCCGGCGCCCCAAACCCCGGACCCCCCGGGCGGCAGCGCACCCCTGGCTCTGCCGGCCTCGGTGTCGGCGCTGACGGTCCTGTCCCCAGGCTGCGTCCCGTGCGGACGTCCCACCACCACGCTCGCCCCGTCGCCCCCGCACCCCCCGCAAGGCACGGCCCGGACCCCCGCGCCGCAGCCTGGGTCGGGTGACTGGGCTGCGGGCGCACGGCGCCGGTGCCTGAAATTCAGCCGGGACGCGCGTCCTGTGGAGTGAACCGTGTTCTTCAGGAAAGAGGACGTGAAGGGCGGGCCGCTGCGTTCAGAGCCTCCTCGGGGACCCGTCAGCTGCAGCCTCGCCGCGGGGGCGGAGCGGACCGCAGCGCGACCGCAGAGCTGCGCTGGGACGCTTGGCAGCCACAGGTCGGGGATGAATCCCCGTGGC